ACCCCGGCCCCCTCCTCAGTGGCCGACCGTCCCTCCTGGGTTCCCACCAAGGTGGCTAGGATGGGGCTCGCTCAACAAAGGTTGGTTTGGGCCGGATCCATCCACTGAATGCCCGCACCTGCCCATTTCATACACGGGGCAACTGAGGCTGAGTGGCGTGCCCAGGGTCACACAGCTGGGATAGGAATTCTTGTCGCTGGAGGGCTCAGCCGGCCGAGGCTGTGAGCCTGTCTCCGTGGGGGTCTCCTCCCTCACCCACCGGGCTCCTAAGGAAGGTGGCATGTGGGTCTGTCACTCTCGGTCCCAACTCTGGCAGACGCTGGGGGGAGGGGTCTCCAGGTTCACCCCACCTCGCCTGTGCGCATGGGAAGGGCACAACTGGGCGCCTCTTTTTTTTTAAATAACATGTTATTTTGCTTTAAAATTTTTTTTTGATTGATTTTAGAGGAAGGGAGGAGAGAGAAAAACACTGATTTTGCTGTTCCACTTATTTATGCATTGCTGGTTAATTCCTGTACCTGCCCTGACCAGGGATGGAGCCTACAACCTCAGCGCATCGTGAGGATGCTCTAAATAACTGAGCCACCCGGCCAGGGCTGGGCACCTCTGGGAGCTGGGAGGGCCTGTGGCTGGCCCAAGGTCACACCAAGTCCCCATGAGGAGCTGAATTTAACTCAGCGTCAAGAGCATGGTAATTGCACAAGTGCTCACAGCCCTCAGCATTGCTATTCGCGTGTACGCCGCCTGGTGTGCGAAGGCAGGGCCCGTCCTCCGCGCCCAAGCCCACCATGGAAAGGTGGTCTCAGTCCCTGCGGTGGGCAGGGAGGCAGCCAAGGTTGGCGAGGATCCAGGCAGCATCTCAGAGGTGACTCGGAACTCGAACCCAGAGCTCTGGACTCAGCCAGGGCTCCTGGGCAGCCTCTGCCTCCCAGCGGATGTGCTGTTACCGTAAGTTCCTGAGTCACCTCCTGAGAAATGCACTGTGGTGGGTGGGTGTCCCTCTGGGGACTCCGCGCTGGGGCTCAGAGCACTTGGAAAATAAACAAACACTCCCTAAGCCTCAGGCCAGCGAGCGCGGGAGCAGCTCCTCCGAGTGGGGCTGTGCGCGCCCGAAGTTTCCTTTCGTTCAGTAAAAGTTCTGCTTTTCTCCGGGATTGAAAATAAAGTCCGAAACCGCCTCCGTTTGCCCTGGCTGTTCGGACGCCCCAGTGAACGGCCGGATCAGAGAGGGAGGGACGTACCCGGGAGGGGGAGGCCTGCCATGCTCTCTCTCCCTTAAAACCAAAATTGCTTCGCCCCTGATTATATTACAATGGAAAAAAAATGACTGGTGCGCAGTCCTCTGCCATTAAATTATTTCACACATACCATTTATTTGGCTGACTGCGGGCCAAAGACATTTAAAAACTCTGCTCTCAGCCAAATGATCAAGTGTTCCTGGCTCCTCTCCCCGGCACCCATGGTTTTTCTTAGTCCGTGTAATTTAAGGGCCTAAATAGTCTGGAGGGAATTAGCTGCGAATTCCTCCCAAGACAAATAAACCCAGCCTCTCGGGCTCGGCCTTCCCCAAGCTGTCGAGAGAGACTCTTTATTTGTTTTTGCCTGACCCCAGGGCCAGGGCGAGCTCCAACCCAAATAAATAACTTTTATTAATTAGCATTTATTCTGACCAAATCAGCAGCCCGCCCCTCCCCCCCGTGCGATCTCTGCCAACACGTTCACGAAAATAAACAACGGGTCCCGGGACCTTGATGTGGATTTAACAAATTAACACTGGGCCTTGGTCAAAGGAGCCTGGATGATGCGGGATATTTGCCGACGGGAAAGTCTTAGGAAGGAAGCGGGGGTGGGGGGCGCAGGGGGGCCAGCGGCGGCTCCGCCTCCCCC